TGTAGCGCTGACACAAATAGTGAATCGCTGAGGAACTGCTGACAGCTTCGAGTGAAGCGTGCGAATGTGTTTGGAATTTTAGCATCGCTGCTGCAGGATGAATTCAGTGGAAAGACTCTCAGAAGCAACAAAAAACAAACATTACCGGATATCAGCCCTGCGATTTCAAAAGCTAAATAAAAACTCAATATAATATAAAAAAAGATTTCTGCTAATGAAAACATGCTTCCAAGTTCCAGAAGCTGATTTCAGATATGATAATAGATCTCGGATGTCCACTAAATTGAATCAGAGTTTCGTATCATCTTGTTTTTTTTTGTATGCTGGGTACCTAATGCCTTATTTCTAACTCTTAGTACAATGTGAGAGTACATATTTATTGTTACTGTGCCTGTTTGTAGGAAGGTTCCATACGGTTGTAGACATTTTGATTATAATAAAGCAAAAATCTCTCATCTTGTAACGAGAAAAGATGAGTAGATTTGCAAGATTTATTTGCTCGATTCTACCCATATTTTCTATGCTTTTGGCAGTTTTAAAGTTTAAAAACGCCAAATCCGGATTTTTATACTCAGTCTTAAATGAAAGTCAGAGTATAATAGTTTGGGAATTCAGAAATAAAATAAAAAACTTAGCTTGATTCATAAAATTTCAGTAAGTCGGATCACAGTCAAAAATTTCCGTATTTCTAAATTTCTCTGTGTAAAAAGGATATGGGGCGAAAGAAATAGCAACACGTCGCTCTAAGTAAGAGAAAAAGAAAGTAACAAAGTTGGACTATATGTATTGATGTGGTTTTATGAGGTATTTGAATGCTGCGCAACGGTGTTCCATACTTTCGCATTGAAAACTAGCAACTACTTGTAGCTTTTACTTAATTTACCAAAAAACATGAAAAACTATTCTTCTGGAATGAGACCATAGTTTTCTCTCATTTAAATCGGTTGTAGCTGGAATAAATGCATTCTAATAAACTCTAATAATGGCAAACTCATTATAAAATGTGAACCTAAACGTAAAAAGTAGCCACTAAAACCTTTGTAAAACGCAAGTATCCCTTCATTTTTAATTGTTTTCAGAACGCAATCGTACACGTTTGAGTACATTTGATTTGGATCATTCATATAACGAGTTTTGATACAGTCAAATGGTTGAGTTATTAACGATGTCACTAAACCGCTTATTAGTGCACTTACAACGTGCGTTTGTGGGTGATGCTGTTGAAAATATTGTGGAAAATTAGCAGTTAATATTACTTTGCTATGGTCGTAAGTTGAAAGCTGGCTGGCCGTTAAAATCGCTGCTCTCAGAACCGTTGCTGAGACGCCTTGATACCATCCGCGAAAGAAACCTTCTTCTTTCAATATTGTTGAGAATGCACTAAATGTATTTGAATATCGTTGTCCTGTCGTTTTTCCACGTTCATTTTGTAGACGTATCTTGACAACATCACAGGGATTCGTTAAACTACTTGCTACAGCACCTCCTAATGCACCAGATAGAATCTTTTTACCAAGCGATGGTTTCCGCTTATCGTCTTTGTGGTTGTAATTTCTTATTGCTTCATAAAGTCCAATTCTCAAACTTGAATAGGTTATTTCTCGCATAATTGATGCTGTTAATCCTCGTGTCCACAGTGATATTACACCACCTTCATTTTGAATGATGGTCTTTACCACTTGACGAAAATGTCCACCTTGCAATGTATACAACTTTGCTTTCTCATCATTCAACTGCAACCGAATTTTGATGACATCAAAAGGATTCAATATTGAGGAAACAATCGCACAAGACAACCCAGCACTTGCAAACTTTTTCAATACCACATTTGAAGGCTGTTTCTCCTCAACTGATTGTACTTTGATGACCATTATCAAATATCTAGAATGCCTTCAGTAGTATAACAATGCATCAAATTCATCAGATCTGTAGAATTTTATCAGAATTTGTTGTTTCCTAATTTCCAGTGTTAGAAATTGGACGTTTAAATACAACTTTCCTCTTACCTACTATGTAAAAGCTTTTGTGTGCGAAAACTAAAGAAATCAACAAGTATAAAAGCAATGGAGTGAAACGAAATAGGAGTGTGTTTTTGTAAAGCATAGAACGCGTATAGCTAGGCATGCACCAGTTACAGTTAACCGTAAAACTGTAACTGAGAAAAGTATAAAACTGTCGAAAAGAGTTTTTAGCATTTTGGCCTGGGTTCATGGTACATTTGTAAAAACTCTATTTGGGTTGTGTCAAATAAGATATCTTTCATCTTTTATCTTGGCGAATATCTGCTTATGCTTTTTATTTTAGCAGAAGGAGAGAAAAAGGAAAATAAGTGATTATCAAAATCTCAATGAATGAAATGGAAAATGCTATCATAAAATGGATGTGCCAAGGTTGGCAAAACGCAGAAATGTGCTTAAATATGACAATGATGCACATATGTTACACTCAGTTACACCTACTATCTTTATCTCATCACTTCTCCCAACAAAAGAAAACATGCTTTTTCTTCTGTTATCTACAGAATAAGCGACATTTTTTGAAATAAGATAAAGATAGTATGTGTAACTCAGCTGCTCTTGAAGCATCTAACTCGGAAAATAGCTCACTTCGTGTAGTATTTTATCAACTAGAATCCTATTATGCCAAAAAAATTCTACGGAAGAAACGTAAGGTAAAAATATGCGCTACATAATAGATGCCACCCAGAGACGATGAATAGAGCAATTAGGATGAGGGGAGAGAATGGATTATTTTTTCTTTAAACAATTGTTTCTGATGTAGTTTTTCATGGTCTTTCCAACGGTATATGTGAAACTGAGTTTTGCTCAAGTTTAAGGGTCAAACAGCGCGTTTTAAGTAAATTCCATAATAGTATCCGTAATTTTCAATTTTCTGACCTTTACAGAGTACTCTGCTGAATTATTATGTTTTCATTAGAATCTAGTTTTGTAGATATATTAGAAACAAAAAACTTTGGCTCTCTGGTCTATGAATTTTGGGACACACTGTATGTCATTTTGCTGAAACTCATTCTAAAATACTTTCTAAACAGTTATGACAGTGACAGTTATAACAGTTACAGTTATCAGCAATTTTACAGTTTTACCACCACAGTTAACCATAAAAAAACTGATGCATGCCTACAGACAGGATGGTTTGTACGACTTTTCAGCAATATCCCAGGAATGTAAGCAAAGAAACAAAAATGTTGCTGTCAAGTTCAAACGACACAATTATTTTGTAGCCTAATGAGGACTATTCCGCATCA